CTTCTTGAGATTCCTTCAATTCCTTTTAATGTGGTCAGTCTTGCCACAATTCCAGCAGGTTGTTAGCTGGTCAGACTTTGATTTTGATCTTCCTCTCTTTGAGTTCATGTCCTGTGATTTCTCTCTGGAATCAAAAATCAATGCCGAACTCGAACCCGGGGTCTTGTAAGAATCTTTTCTACGCACCTCCTCAGCCAAAATCAAATCACGAATATCATCATATTTCAGTTTAGATTTACCTGCAGAACTGCTTACAACCATTCTCATGGTTTCTCAGCTATTTGACAATGATGCTAACGATATCAGTGCACGTATCTCATTATCAAAAACAATTTCAACAGATGAAAATTGATTTGTGATATTATTGAACGCATTCAGGTGTTAAGCAACAGACACACCTTCCGTCTTTTTCAGGTTGAATAATTTTTTCATCAGGTGCACCTTGTTATTCGCTAATGGTTTTTCATAAATGTTTGATAAAACCGCAATGAGATCTGCAGTAGTCCTCTCCTTGATGACATTATAGACAACGGATCTTGACAGAGTTAATCAAACAACCCCCAGAATTGTCGATTCAACAAATTCTATTCAGTCTCATTCATTTTTTCTGGTTTCTTTCCTAGTAACGGAAGATGAAGTTTCTTTTCATAGAGATAGTACTCTATTTGCATCCTCTAGTAACCAAAATCTGTGTCATTAAACTTCTCGATCTCTGATACCATCACTTCTTCTCCGCCCATCGTTCTTCTTTCCGCCTCGAACCAAAGATCTAATACCACTTGTTGTGAAAAACGACGGCAATAAGACAAAAATTTGGATCGAGAAAAATTTGTAAATAAAAACTACAGCAAAACACAAATTTACGTGGTTCGGCAAATTGTCTACGTCCACGGAGCTGCAGTGAATTTTATTAGCCTGAGGAATTTACATCTTTCGATCACATCGATGATTACAAGAAAACATTCTTTCTTTCTCTCTCTCTCTTATCTGCTTCTCTCTCTCATTCTCTAAAACAAGAGTCACACCAAGAAGAAGAAAGACAACTTCAAAAAGCTTCCTTGTGATTCATTTATTTCAGCCCTACGTCGGAGTATAATCCAATGAGAGAAGACTGTTGGAGAGTGATGCGACCCTATAATCGTGAGCTCCTTTTAAAGCTTCCCAATATCCAGCTTATTTTGGCAACCCTTAATTTCGTGATTCCAGAGAGAAAACATGGAATTATGCTTTAATGACTCATATAAAGCCCATTAAGACAATCTATCAAATTCATTTTGTTTTTCTCTATAACAACAGGAGGGGCGGGAGATTAATCTGGGAAAGCTTAATTAATTCTTCCTGTCAGAAAAAGACAACTGCTTTAAATAAAAATTTGAAGCATCAAGCTATAAGAGGGAACAAAATTACATAAGGAAATAAACTTAAATAATTTTCATAAATATCGGGGTCACCAATTCAAGGAAGTGGACCGAGTTTCCACCTTCCTTAACAACCATAAAAATAAAAAAAATGTCAGAAAAGGGTTCAATAATAGATAAAACATGTCAAGATGAAGCTCATTACATTCATCAACATGTTCTGAGTTGTCATACACAATTGTGATTATTGCAATTTACAGGCTGGGAATCTAGCAGCGGAGGGGTGAAGATCAATCTCGACTACCTTAGTTTGTTTTGATCGCATGAAAAATCAATCAGGCAAAAAAGAGAACAATGTACAAGGCCTTACATGGAAAACAAGATAAGGAAAAAAATTCACTTGAACTTTCTTAGTTGAAAAAACTCAACTATAATAGGGTTACAAGATATCTCATTTCTTTGTAGTCATAGAATGCATCCATAAGAAAATAGGAAACTAAGCTATTGAAGTTGATGTAGGGACATCGTCAGTTGCATCATTGAATTTTAGTTAGCATTTTTAATGTTTTGCAAAGACGGCCGGAATAGGAATTCTAGATGTGGCTCACATAAAGTGAGGGTTATGGTGTATCTAAAGTTACCAACAACAAAGTCTCAGAAGTGGTGGAGATGATTGGACAGATTGTTGCGTTGATATTTATCGTCATCAATGACCAAATAAACAGGAAGAGTAGCAAATGAGTGTAGAATAGACGAGAGGTATTGCTCATAATTTTTCAAATAAATAGTCAAGAACATCATCATTGTATATCACATTAAAACAAGTGACACACCTTTGTCCACATCACGAAATATTATTCTAAACAAATATTATTGTTATTATTATTATTACATTGTATGTCCCAGCTCTTTTAATGATCATACTACATGTCTATACTTTGTTATTGACACTTTAACAAATATAAATTAGAAAAGAAGTAATTGCTCTTAAAAATTTGTTAGATCCATTAACCACTTGGGCATATATAGAGCCCTACAACATTTTACAAATAAATCCCTATAATTCTTCAATATTTCCTATTTACAAGTAGGACTCTAAACTAGTACAAATATCAACTCTTCCCCTCAATATGGGCAAAAGATATCCACTAAACTCATCTTGTCACCTAACTTAAACAAATATATTGCAAATCTCGAAATTAATATATATATATATATATATATATATATATA